CGGTCAAACCGTGGTGCTGTTTTGTCTATGGAGTAGCCATTCTTCTGTTTCTTTACTTCTCTAATAAACTTGCTTTCACTTTAGTCTAAGGACTTGCCCCCAGTTCCTTCTTGCAGGAGATCCCTGAACCTTCTCTTGGGTTCTGGATAGAGACCCGTTTCCAGTAAAATATATCATGTTCCTTTTGTTCATCTCTATATAATTCAGTGCCTGATATTCCTAGCCCATAGTAGCTAACAATAAGTATTTGTTGAATAACTAATTGGAAGAACGAAAGAAATGCGGGTTGGATATGTTTTCACTTAGTGCAATAGCCACTATGAATTGTGCTGTATACAACCAATGAGCATCATCTCAACCCATGAGACATGCCATTCATTCAGTCATTTATTCCATAAACAGTAATTGAGCATTTGCTAGGTTCCAGGTACAGGATACTAGACCCTTAGGAATAACTAACTAGCTTTTCTGTCCTGAAAGAGTCTGGAGACTTGTAAGAGAAGAAATATGTTTTTTAAAAAATTAAGTTCCATACAATATTTTAGGTGCTATCAAAACTACCCCAATTATCCTAGTCACCCCACACATTGAAAGCTCCAAGGCGTGAACCAGCTGGGCCTGCTCTCTGCTGGGCTTTCCTGACAAAGTAGGGAAACCAGACAGACATGATGGAAGAAGTATTACAGTTTCATGAAATAGCTTCTTCTAGAAGGCAAGAGATAGCTTTGCTGTGGCTCGGTATTTGAAATAGGCTATATAAAGTGGTAGTTTTTGTTGTTGTTGTTTCTTTTTTAAGACAGAGTCTTGCTCTGTCACCCAGGACGAAGTGCAATGGCCCAATCTCTGCTCACTGCAACCTCTACCTCTGGGTTCAAGTGATTCTCCTGCCTGAGTCTCCCTACTATCTGGGATTACAGGTGCCCACCACCACACCCAGCTAATTTTTGTATTTTTAGTAGTGACGGGGTTTTGCCATGTTGACCAGGCTGGCCTCAAACTCCTGACCTCAAGTGATCCACCAGCCTCGGTCTCCCAAAGTATTGGGATTACAGGCGTGAGCCACGGCGCCCGGCTAAAGTCGTAATTATTTTATTTTATTTTATTTGTTTATTTATTTATTTATTATTTGAGACAGATTGTCGCTCTGTAGCTCAGGCTGGAGTGCAGTGGCACGATCTAGGCTCACTGCACCCTCTGCCTCCCGGGTTCAAGCAGTTCTCTGCCTCAGCCTTCTAAGTAGCTGGGATTACAGGCCTCCGCCACCAGGCCCAGCTAATTTTTGTATTTTTAGTAGAGACGGGGTTTCACCATCTTGGCCAGGCTGGTCTCGAACTCCTAATCTCGTGATCCACCCTCCTCGGCTTCCCAAAGGGCTGGGATTACAGGCGGGAGCCACCGCGCCTTGCAAGTCGTAATTATTTTAAACAGAGGCTTTCACAGGACTTACAAGGCATACCTTGTTCTTTTCAGCGCATTCCTCCTTCCCCTAACCCTTTACTTTCACTTCACTGACTTGACTCACTGCGCGGACACAGCTAAGCGCTGTGAACGGATTCAAGAATAAAGAAGGCAAAGTGCTGCCTTCACGCAGCTCGCACTGTAAGGAGGTTTAATCAGGGATGATGACTGAAAATAACTCGCGTTTAATCACCAGAACAGATGGTGTCAGTGAGCCCGCCTGGGGCGCTGCCTCCCGACCCCCGCGGTGACCGGAGGGCGGCCCGCAGGGCGGGAGGTGGGGCATGCTGATTCCCGGGGGGCAGCCAATGGCCATGCTTGGAGGCCAGGCTTTTCAAAAAGACTAACTTGGAAAACGGCCAGTGACAGCGGGATCTGGCTGAACGCAGGGATCTTCAGCGTTCGCGTGCTGCTGGGGTAGAAAGAAAGGGCTCAAGGAGGGGATGATCCGGGCAATATCTTTTTTTACTAATCTGTAAGCAAATGTTCCAATGTTTTAATGACCGGTACAGCCATACCAGATACAGTGGTCCAGATGGATAGATATCCGCCCAGATACAGCGTCTATCTGTTCTTTTGCCTGCCAGGAGCACAAAAACAGTTTCTCAGAAGAAATGTTATTTCCATGTGTGTAATCATGTAATTCAAACAGGAGCTGCCGTTTACTTGCAGACCTCCTAAGTGACAGTGTTTGGTCTGGGGGTAGGCGGGCCACATTTGCTGGGACTACTGTTTATTCGTCTTTATGACTTAGCTCAGTGTCTGGAATAGAATTAGGCACTCGATAGAATTGTTTAGGAATAAATGGACACACATGTTTAACTATTGCTTCGTTTGATCTCACTTGTAAAATTTCTGCAACTGTGTGACTCTGCTGTAATGGAAAGTCTTATCCTGTTTAGGCAGCTTAATATAAGTTGATTAAGATATGTGCATTTCACGATATCTTTGGTAAGTTTCAAGAATTTGCTGGCAGCTGTCACTATGACATTCAAGGCTTATGTTTACTTTTTCTTTTTTCCCTAATACAGCGTTTACAAACTCCAAGAATTGTATCCATTTCACAGGTTGTTGTCAGATTTAGGGCAAAAGATATACGTAGGCTTTATAAATTTTAAAGTTGGTACAAATGTTTGTTGATACTCTTGTTTAATTCAGCGTCAAATAGTTGAGGACCTTCCATGTACTTACTGATCACAGAGTTAACCATTATTACACAGTACTGTATTCCTCCAGGAATCAAAGGGCAGCAGCTCAAAGGCAATACGTGGATGTGAATGAGATGAAGCTGATCAAGTCAGAAGGAAAAGGAACTCAGATGCCAGAGCTTCCAAGGTCTGAATAGCAGGCAGTTTTAGAGACAACTCTAGTTTTCTCGTGATGGCTGAAATTACTAGCAGCCTAAGATCACTGCCCTTTTCCTGGAATAATAAGTTCAGTGTGTCTGAAGGGGGCCAGAGTCATCTTGTGTGTTTACAAATGATAAAAGTAAAAGGTGTGAGTATGAATGTTGTTCCAAGAAATGATTGCTCCAGGGTGACTGCATTCTTTCGTGTGTGTGTGTGTGTGTGTGTGTGTGTGTGTGTGTGTGTGTGTTGGTTATAAGTAACAAAGCAAATCAAAGTAGCCTAAGCAGGAAAAAAGAGGGAATTTGTTATAAAGAAGCCCCAGTGTTTGATAGAACAACCCAATGGCAGGAATGTGTATGGGTCGTGGGAAGAGCCTAGAGCCAGGAACTGGAAAGAAATTTGGATTCTTGCTCCAAATTTGCTTCTCTGCTCACACCTACTACATTCTTCTCTCTCTGCTTCTCTAATCGACATGGCAGTCTGTATCCTTAGTTAAAATATTTGTATCATTAATTCCCCATTACTCAAATGACCATCATTTGAGGCTGCGGAGAAGGCATGTCCTTGTTGGGTGGGAGGATTTTCAATCTATGGGCTATTTTAAATGTAAGACACTATGATTCTACCAACTTAGACTCCCATATACACAAGGATTCACGTCCATTGCACTTTCTGTGTCTGTTTATAGCACAACTGTTTTTTGTTTGTTTGTTTTGGTCTTATTCTAGCCCTTCATATTTCATGTGGAGTCAATCACTAGGTGTTATTGGGTTTTGGTCTCAAAAGTCTATCATTAAATAATATTAGTTTTCTCAGTAGCACAATTCACAATTGCAAAGATTGGAACCAACGTAAGTGCCTATCAACTAATGAGTGGATAAAGAAAATGTTATATATGCATACACACACACACACACACACACACAGACACACACACACACACACATTATGGGATACTACCCAGCCATAATAAGGAATGAAATGATGTGAAATATTATCTTTTGCAGTAACTTGGATGGAGCTGGGGGCCATTATTCTAACGGAAGTAACTCAGGAGTGGAAAACCAAAAACCATATGTTCTCACTTAAATGGAAGCTAGGCTATGAGTACACAAAGGTATACAGAGTGATATAATGGACTTTAGAGACTTAGAAGCGGGAGGGTGGGAAGGGACTTATGGATAAAAAACTACTTATTAAGTATAATGTACTTGGTGATGGGTGCATTAAAATCTCAGTATTCACTACTATATAATTTATTCACATAACAAAAACCCACTTGCAACCCGAAAGCTATTGACAATGCCACACAAAAAAGAATATTAGTTTTCTTCTAATGCTGAAGGCCAATATAAAACGTAACAAAAGCCTGAGCTCTTTAACTAATGGGTACAAGTTAAGACAGAATCACATGAGGATTTGGAGTTGAACCTGAGCTCAAATCCTGTCTGCATCACTGCTAGCTCTCTGAGGCTTTCCTTTCAACTACAAAGTGGAGATATAATACTAAACAACCTTACTGGGTTGCTTAGCTTACTGGGTTGTTTACTGGTTGCTTAATTAATATTTATAACATACTTAACAGTGTTTCTACAAATGCAAGAACTTCCTGTAAGCGCATAGTAAAGAGTAGTTATTATTAAGTAATGATAAATAAAAAGCAGTTGTATCATTCTTTTTTTAGTTTAGGAAACACTTGCACCTAGATTTTCTCTTCTAATATTCATTAAAACCCCGAAAGGCTGATAATATCCCCATTTTAGGGATGGAGACACCAAAAAAAAAGGAGATAAGAACACCTAGATAGATCGGAGACCCAGCTTTTTGTAGGCTGACTGCCCTAGGTGATACATGAGGTCCTGTACTTGTTCATTTATTCACACATACAACAAATATTTATTTACTTCTTACCATAAACCGTTTAAGGAGCCTGGGGATATAGCATAAACAAGCAAAAAAAGACACAAATCTTTGCCTAGAAATCTACAAATATACGATATTTTATAGAATATATAACATAGAAAATAGAAACATTAAATATGAAAATAGCCTAATTTTTAAGGTTTTTCTTTTTTTAACATACCCTTCATAGTTAACGGTTAATAGTTAATGGGGAGTACCCATTAACTTCCACCTTCCTTCTCAGCTCTCTCCCAAGACTCAAAGTATCGGGAACTAGACCGTTTTGATCCAGCTTGGGTGGAATGGCCCTCAAGGGGCAAGGCTTATTCGCAGCCCCAAATTCCGAAAAGCCGGCCAGACCGTGGAAGTGTCTGAAGGTGGAAGGAGAGGTCGCGGAACCAGCGTTCCGGTAGTCGTGGTTGTCTGGGGGAAGCCGATCCTGGGGACCGGTAGTGGAAAGCTCTTGCGCCGTTTCCGGCCACCTCAGCGGGAAGCGTAGACGCCAGCAGCCGCCTCTGGGTAACTGAGACAGGGTCCAACTGTTGTCGCGGCGGAGGAAGTGAGGGTGAAGCCAACGGTCTTCCGGGCCAGGGTCGGGTCCCTGTGGTTTGTGAAGATGGTGTTGCTAACAATGATCGCCCGAGTGGCGGACGGGCTCCCGCTGGCAGCGTCGATGCAGGAGGACGAACAGGTGAGCGACTACCCCCGCGACCCCGCGTCTCAGCATCGAATTCCTTTCTAGGACCGGGGGATCCTTGCGACCTCCCGGGCACTCCCGACCTCTCCGAAGTGCTCTTTTATCGTTTGGTGTGCGAGAGACGACCTGAGAGAGGAGGTCTTTCCTGAAGAATGAGTTAGGTGTTTCTGTTCCCTGTTTCTCTTTAGAAAAACGCTCTGGAGAAGTGATAACTTCGGTCGATTGTGATGACTCAGTGTTCTTTGACTCTTTAGGGACTTTGTTAAAATTCAGGACTTCTGATTTTCTGCTGCCAGCAGGACCGCTGACGGATAAATCCTGGGAAAACGCAGCCAGGCTCCTCGACTCTATAATGTAGCACCTGATCCTTGACCTAGCTTGCTGACATCTTTTGAAAGTGGGTGAGGTCATATTGCCACATAGAAAGCACATGTTAAAGTTCAGCACGGCACATTCTTTCAGGATTATCCCCAGTTCCCACCTTCTCCAATACGCCGTACCACATTTCTGCAGTGCATTGTAACTTATTTTTTTCTTTGTCTTTCAATAACTGGAGTTTTCTACTGGGCTGACGACGGTTCTTAATCTCTGTGTTATCCATATCTTTTACAATAGCTGCTTTATGCTAGTAGGTGCTCAAAAATATGTCGAATTGATTAGAAACGGCAACAACTCCAGATATCTTCAAAGGAAGCTGTTTTGTGTTTTAGAATCACAGTGGAAATCTCTGAAGTAAGGCCAGTTTCGAGAGCGAGCTCGGGAGGTTCTGAAGACAAAGCTGAGAATGGAATTGATATAATTTATTTAAAGTGATCAATTTTATTTTACTTTTTCATACAGTCTATGTGGTGTTTTAAAACCTTGAGCCTTAAGAAAACGATGAGATCTATTAAAAAAAATGTTTTGTGCAATTATTTTATTAGAATTTTCATTCATATATTAATGCCAAAAATTTTTATTGAGCACATCAAATGTGCTAGGCATAGTGTTAATGCAGGGGTCTAGAGTACACAGCCTCTACCTTTGTGGAGCTTACAGTCTAGTGGAAAAATCAGATAACTATTAAAATGTAGTATAGCTACTATGGTGAAGGAAGAGAGTTTTATGATTGAACATGGGAAATGTATCTAAGTTGATTTTAGGAAGTCAGGAAAGTCTTCCCAGAAGGCATGATATTAAGCTAACAATAGGATCCATTGGTAAGGAACTATTCTATTTAGTTATATGCCTTTTTAGGTTTGATTTGGAAATATATTTAACTTTTAGGAGAGTATTGATACAGATAATAAAGTTGCAGGTCATGCTAGGTGAAATATATTCCATTCATTTCATAAAAACAAAGTCTAATCTTTGAAATAACGGTGAACAATTTAACATGCCCTGATTTGCTACTGTGAAATGTTTTTCAGGAATATTCTAGGACCATCCTGCAGAAGGAGTGTAATTGTTGAAATGAACCCAGGAATATGATTTGAACAAAGTAGTTAGTATAGGGAAATATCCTTGAAGGATGTGTAGTTTGACTAAAAGATAGATGGGGGTAGGGGAGATGGATTCTGCTCAGTTTTTAAACTATTGCATTGAATTCCCGTGTGGACAAAGAATACAAAGTGAACTTGAAAGTCTACTTAATATTAGTGGCCCCTACTCTCTGCCTTGATACTTTATTGAAAAATTAATTGATTTATTGTTTTTTAATTCTGAGTTTGGTATTGATTTTGTATTGGTTTATCAAGATGGGTTGCTTCATTTAATTGACAAGGAAAGAAATTTTATACGCAAATATTTTTGTAATTGTAGTGCCATAGTATTTTCCTTTAGGAATTTTGACTTTGAATAATAAAGTTTGCCTGAAATTTTAATGTCTGTAAAAATCTGAATCTTAGACTTACTTTTACTATATTAATGGTATACAGAACATTTATAAAAGTGCCTACTACATACCAAACACTGTGCTAAGCCTATTAAGCGCATTTTTTCATTTAATCCTCATGCTACCTTATTGGAATAGGTACTATTAAAATCTCCAATTATAGATAAGGAAACTCTGAGGCTTATAGAGGATAGATCACTTGCCTAAAGTCACACTGCTAATAAGTAGCATGATGAAGTTTTTCATCAGAGTTTTTCACCTTGGCACTGTTGACATTTGGGATAATAATTCTTTGCTTTTGGGGACTGTCCTGTACATTGCATAGGAGGTCCAGCAATATCCCTGGCCTCTACCCTCTAGAAGCTGGTAGCACCACCACCCTTCCCCACTTTGTTGTGACAACAAAAATATTTTTAGGCATTGCTAACTGTCCCATGGTGGTGGGGAGGGGTGGCAAAATCACCCCAATTGAGACCCAGTGTTTTTTAATAAGTATTTGTTTGAGTCAACTGAAGCTTCAGTGCCTAACCACTGTACTTCACTGCCTCGTTCTAAGACTTTTTAATGATGTCTTACCTCAGGAGTCCAGAAATAACTTTTTAATAAACAGCTATTTTTCGACCAAACAGTTTTATATTTAGGCACCTTAATTGTCCAGGCCAAATAATTCAATGTATTTTCGTTTTTGTTTGTTTTTGTTTTCTTATCAGTGTACTTTCAATATTTATACTAATAATAGATGTATTTTATGTATTTACTAGGTGCCTATACAAGCTGCTGTATTACCAAAGATGGACAGTTCTTCAGATAATACAATAGAGAATAAAATTCACAAAATAATGTAGACAGAGTATTTCATACAGGGTGTTTCCTTTGTGTTTAACTGGAAATTTAGATTTAGGGCAGATGGAGAGATGAGCTTTTCTTCTCAAATGTAGATTCCCTAACTGATACCCTGTTTATCTTTTTTTTCTTCCTTTTATGGTGTGTTTCTCCTTTCAGGATGTTTGCAATTTCTTTAGCTACCTTTCTGTTCTGCCTCAAAATTGTTGTATTTTCTTTTATTTTCCCCTGGCACTGTGAAGGGCAGTTCAGACTTGAAGCAAGTGTTAGATCTCACCAGATAGGCAGCAGGAAGCTCCAAGAAAGCAGATAACATGTTATACAGTTAAATTGTCTAATTCTCCCAATCACTGAGGGTAGATTAATCACCGTACTGTAATTGCTTTTAGGGGAAAGTGGTTGGTTCTTGGTGCTGCTGGTCTTTGGCCAGCTGAGTTCATTGAGGTATTTAAAAATGATAAGAGCTATGAAGACCAAAGTTGTTATTTAAAACAACTAGTTCAGCAGTCCTAGGTGACAGCAATGAAAAGTGTGGTAGTTGTATGAAAAGTGTTGTAGTTGTGTGTCAAATTACTACCTTCTACCTTTTGTAATATATAGATCCAAATGCTAAATTTGCTATTGGATAACCTCAGATTTGTTTCACGGTTTTTCCAGGTATTCTGATCCACTGCATTATTGGGTTACTAACAGAGAGCTCACAATTACACCATATACAAATTTTGTTAATCTGTTTTAGATAGAGTAGAAAACAGAATGAGGACATCTAAGTATTTTAGGGTGGACTGGCTAACTGTGGGCCTTTGTGACTTTGATCTTGAAAGCAAACTAAAGGTCAATCTATAAAACAGCGGTTATGCTGTTTTGTGAGATCTAGATCAGAGCTGCCACATGGTTTCTTGAGCATTTCCAATGAATTAGAATTACATAATAAGACTTGACCTAAAAGGTGGATCTACTATTGAAACAATTTGAGTTACAGAGTTAGTGTAGCATAACGCTTAGGAGTAGGGGCTCCAGGGCCAGATTGCCTGTGTTCAGATCCTCGTCCTTCCCTTTTTAGCTTAGAGTCACTGGGCAAGTTTGACTTCTCAAGTAAAAAATTGGCATAATAATTCTAATCACCTCATGAAGATTAAACGAGTTAAATAATATAAAGTATTCAGAACAGTGCCTGGCAGAAAGTGAACACTTAATAATTTCATTTGACTATTTCTGGAGAATCTTTTCTAATTCTATCTTGCCTTTCTTTTTTTTTTTTTTTTTCCAGACAGAGTCTCACTCTGTTGCCCAGGCTGGAGTGCAGTGCGATCTCGGCTCACTGCAACCTCCACCCCTCAGGTTCAAGAGATTCTCCTGCCTCAGCCTCTTCTGTAGCTGGGATTACAGGCACTTGCCACCTTGCCTGGCTAATTTTTGTGTTTTTAGTAGAGACAGAGTTTCACCATCTTGGCCAGGCTGATCTTGAACTCCTGACCTCATGATCCACCTGCCTCAGCCTCCCAAAGTGCTGGTATTACAGGCATGAGCCACTGTGCCCGGCCTCATCTTGCCTTTCTTAAAGGTTCAGATTAGAATTGCACATAATCAACACACTGGATGTAAATATGTAATGAACAGTAATGAGTGAATGATTTTTCACATTACAGAATTAATTTGTGCATATTATAGAAAGATCAATAAATACATAAAAACAAAATGACCAAAATGTTAACAGTATTTATTAGCTATAATCTGTACTCAAATTATATCCATTCTGGTGGATGACCTTAAACATATGCGTGTGTGTATAAAATTAAATAATAGGTAATATCATAAGACTGTTTCACCTAATTTTTTCCGCTTAACAGTGTTTAATGAATATTTTCTCATATCATTAAATACTATACAGCATTGTTTTAATGACTGCATAATATTCCGTTATATGACTATGCCAGACAGATTATTATTTAACCCAAAAGATTGTGCTAGCCTTGTGTTCTCAAGGATGGTAATGCTAACTGAATCAGCATAGAAAGATGTTTGTTGGCATACCATAATCCCTATGAATACATCCCCAGGGTTGTATATTGGCAATTTTTACATTGCTGTTTGCAAATTCCTGAAATTGTAGCATGCTTTTGGCTAGTTTCTTATAGTTGATACAGTTGTTAGCCTTTCTCTCAGGCTGCAATAATGTTTACAGTGCTTCTTTTAAAGTCAAAGGATTTGTACCAGTCTATCCAACAATTTTTTCCATGTTTCTTCAACTAGTCTTTTTACGATTCTCATCTGCCTTTAGTTTTGTTTCTGAGATTCCCCAAGTGATTCTATTGTGAAGTCAAGGTTGAATATCACAGGTCTATGTTGATATTCTTTCTTGGCACTTAGTAGCATTCCCAACATTATTTGCACCCCTTTTATCTACTCTTGTGGGTTCAGATTTCTTTAGAATGGCCCTGGGGAAACAAAAAGATTGGTAAAGTACCATTCAAATTTAGGAAAATAGAATATTGTACACTAGTTCTCATTGTGAAAACACATGACAGTATTCACTCTTACTGGCTGACCATATATTAGTAGTCTGTTTAATATGATAATTTTGATATAGAATTATTATGAAATACTGTTTAATATATAAAACTGTACATACAGACAGACATGCAAATGTTAATACAGAACTATTTCTCAAATATATAACAAATATATGTCAATAAAACAAATCATTACTGTAACAGTGGAACTAAACAAGATAAATCTACAGACTACTACCTGACTGGACTCTGCCTATCTCCCCTGGTTCACCTCATGCTTACTCACCTTTTACTCATATTGAAATTTCCAGTTCACCATTTTTATGTATAGTTTAGAATCTTAGTATCCTATAATTGTACGTTTGCGAATCTGGCACTTTATCATTTTATTATTGCTTCCTTGTTATTACTATAAGCTTAGCAGTACAGTATCTACAATTTTAAGATATCACTGTGTACTTTATCAAAGTTAGATGTCACACCCTGGGAGACACTAGTGTAACTACTTTTCTACTTAAATATTTACTTATTAAACATCTGCCAAAGGGAGACTTTTTTTCAATGTAAAATAAATAATTCCAAAATAGAATGATTTCTTTGCATCACTTGGCAATGTCTTAGTCTGTTTGGGTTGCTATAATGAAATACCATAAACTAGGTGGCTTATAAACAACAGAAATTGATTTTTTCTAGTTCTGCAAGGTGAAGATTAAATACCAGCAGATTTGGTGACTATTGAGGGCCTATTCCTGGTTCATAGATGTCACCTTCTGGCTGTTTTCTCACATGGTGGATGGAGCAGGCTAACCCTCTGGGGTCTCTTTTATACAAGTACTAATTGCATTCATGAGGGCTGTACCCTCATGACTTAGATCCCAGTTGTTAATATCATCACTTTAAGGGGTTAGGATTTCAACATGAATTCTGTGGGAGACATCAGCAAACATTCAGACTATAGCTGGGTAGCTGTCAGAAAGCCCTCATACCCCACATGTGGATGGATAAACAATGTCTATTTGCTTCCAATTCTCTGGGCACTTCCTTTCCCTGTTGGATCTAGTAGATGTGTGATTTTCTTCTTTTGAAATGACTGCTATTTTTCCCAGTAAATTTCTCCCTTCTTTAAAAAAAAAAAATGTAAAAGCAGTTAGAAATTGTTCAGGAGAATATTACTTATAACATCTGAATGCTATTATTTTCATTTTTGTTTGCATATATCCCTCTGTATTCAAACTTTTGCTGTCCAAATTTGGGAACCAAATCAATTTATTCAGTAAGGGTATTTGACATTCTAATCTTTGTCTCTGCTCTTGGTCATTTTTACCTAATTGCAGTCAAACTGTTCATAGTAATTTGCAGTCATGAGTTCACACACTTAGTTTTGTTTAAATGCTCAAAATTGTAACATTTGTGGAAGGTTCTACTGGATATTTGAACATAAAAATGGAATTCATCAATCTTGTTTCTGGGATTTTCCCCTGAGTATAGCACATGCTGTATAGTTCTATGTCAATAATTGCAAATGAAATCGGTTAGAAGGAGAGTACTGTCCTAATAGTGGAAAGAACACTGGATTGGAAGTTAAGCGTGTGTTAAGTGTATTTGAGGTATATGCTTTTGCATCTTAGCAAATAACTAATGTGATCATCTGGAAGAAGTCAGGGTTAGGTCTTTCTCTGTACTCTGAAAGTAGGTTATCTTTCTTTTGTTAAAATGAATCTTACTTACCTGTAAATGATGGACCTTATTCAGCGTGTCTTCATAATATGATGTTTCTCACTAATTGATACAGTTTTTTGTGAAAAGTTCTTAAATGAAGATATCTTTTTTCAGTCTGGCCGGGACCTTCAACAGTATCAGAGTCAGGCTAAGCAACTCTTTCGAAAGTTGAATGAACAGTCCCCTACCAGATGTACCTTGGAAGCAGGAGCCATGACTTTTCAGTGAGTATAATCTTGATTTCTTTACGATCATTTAAGTGTAAAATACAGTAACAGAATGCTTGATAAAAATAATTTTTTTTAAAGTAAAGATTATTTTAAAATGTAGTCTCTTGAGAGAAGCAACTTCTCTGGCTCTAATTCTGCAAAACAGAGATCTTAACATGCTTATAGTAATGTACGCTGTTAATATGTGTCTAATGAATGCTGTGCCCATCATGCAATAATAGATACCTTCTTGCTTTAGGACTGTCTTGGAGCCAGATATGTGTAGGTTAGTACCCTTGCTCACACATTTCCTAACCGTGTAACTTGGAGCAACTCACATAACTTCTCTAAGCCTTAGTTTTTCACTACTCTATAAAGTAGTGAAAATAATTATAAGAGGTTTCAGAGGATTTTGAGGGAATCTATGTATATTATTTGCATCTTGTCTGATAGATGGGAAGAGTCAATAAATATTAATTATTATTTTTAAAAAAGAAAATTATAAAAGATTAGAGTATCTCAATCAGTGGTTATAGACATATATATATACAGATGATAGAGGAATCAAAGGCACATTATTGGATTTTAAATTATCTACAAATAATTGGTAATTAATACTTGCCAAGTTTGAAGCTGATAAAATAGGAAGGATTAAAAAGAGCATCAGAGGAAAATAAAAACGGATTAGCTAAATAATCTTTGCTATTTTAGGGACTTAGATAGTAAGGTAATTTAGGCCAGGGAGGAAGCTGCTATATTTACTTTAAAAAACAAACAAACAAACAAAAATTCTCTGCCTGTAAAAGACAAGTAAACAAGTACATCAAAACAAAAATAGAACACTAGGCTATTGGCTAAGAAAATGATGGACATTCTGTTTCAGAGTATTAATTTGTATAATATCTGAAATATTTTCTGTAACTTTAATTTTCACCAAAAAATACAGTCACATAATATATAGTATCTTTATTTTCACCGTGGTTTAGTTAACAAAGACCTAGGAAAGTTCTCATGGAATTGAGAAGAGATTTTCTTTTGCCTGATTCCTTTAGGACATTCATCATCTCATATAATCCTTCATTTCCATCCAAGAGCTATTAAGGGTTTATTCTTTGCCAGACCTTGTATTGAGTCCTGCATTTAATGTCCACATCTTTTAACTCTGTTCTCTTAGTGCAGAGAGACACATATACTCAAACAAGTATACTATAATTAGATTTAAATAAAATGTTTTGGTAACAGAGAGAAGGAAGGAATGAATTCCCATTTGTCAGGGGTAAGTTTGAAGAAGGGATAGAGGAGGGGAGTATATATAAAAAGTTTCACAGAAAAAATTACAGTAGAATTGAACGTATGAAAATGAACAAGATTTCTCCAGGTACATAAAAGAGCATTAACAGTTAGAAAAAACAATATAAGCAGAAGTCCACAAATACGTAAAGAACCTAGCATGTTGGAAAACAGTCTGCCATTTGCTTTCCTAAAATATATGATAGAATGTTGCTTACACTTGTTTTGAAGGGCTATAAATATAATACCATGGAGTATGATTTTATTTTGTGGATATTAGGGAACCCTTACAGTATGTAAGCAAAGTAATATGGTCATCTGTACTGTCTGGGAATAAAACTGACAGTATAGAAGATGGTGTAGACTAAAAGCAAAGAGACCAGTTAATTCAAGTGCCCAAGCAAGGAATAGGACAACTGTACTATTAATATCATTTGAGGGGTCTGAGAGATCATATAATAGTCTTTATCCTTTATGGAGCCCTAGGATGCCTCAGGAGCCACATAGAAAGGGCAAGGATGGAAGTATATGTAATACTGTGGGCCCCTAAACTCCTCCTTATGTTTTAAAATTTTTCCCTTTATTTTCAGTTGACATGTAATAATTATACGTATTTATGGAGTATGGAGTGATATTTCAATACATACATACAATGTGTAATGATCAAATCAGAGTCATTGGCATATTCATCACCTCAGACATACATTTATCATTTATTTGTGTTGAGAACTTTCAAAATCCCCTCTTGTAGCTTTTTGAAAATACGCAGCAAGTTCTAGCTAACCATATTCACCCCACAATTCTGCAGAACACCAGAACTCATTCTTCCTATCCTGTTGTAATTTTGTATCCATTAACCAGCCTCTGCTCATCCTCTACTCCTCTCTACTTTTTCACACTTCTACTATCCACAATTCTACTCTCTTACTTCCATGAGCTCAAAAAAATTTTTTGGCTCTCACATATGAATGAGAACATGCTGTATTTATCTTTCTGTGTATGACCGTTTTCACTTAATGTAATGTCCTCCAGATTTATCCATGTTGCTGCTAATGACAGAAATTCATTCTTTTTTATGGCTGAATAGTATTCCATGGGTGTGCGTGTGTGTCTGTATGGTGTGTATGTGTGTATAAAAAACACTTTTAAAATCCGTTATTCTGTTGATAGACATTTTTCTTGATTATCCTTAGATGTTATGAATGGTGCTGCAGTAAACATGGGGGTACAGGTATGTTTTTAACATAGTGAGTTTTTTTTCCTTTGGATAAATACCCAGTAGTGGGATTGCTAGATGGTATGGTAGTTCTGTTTTTAGCTTTTTGAGAAACGTCCATACTGTTTTCCATAATGCCTGTACTACTTTACATTCCCACATATGGTGTATAAAAGTTCTCTTTTCTCTTCATCCTCATCAGCACTTACTGTCGTTTGCTTTTTAATAGACATTTTAACCGGGATGAAATGATATGTCATTGTGGTTTTTATTTACATTTACCTGAAGATTAGTGATGTTGAACATTTTTTCAATTGGATTATTTCTGGTTTTGCTGTTGAATTGTTTTGAGTTCCTTATATATTCTGGATATTAGTTCCTTATCAGATGAATGAAACTAGATCCCTATCATACCATATACAAAAGTTAACTGAAAGTAGATAAGACCCTAAACTATAAAACTGCTAGAAGAAAGCATAGGGGAAACGCTTCAGGACATGAGTCTGGGCAAAAATTTTATGGCAAAGACTTCAAAGCATAGGCAACAGAAAAGAAAATAGATAAATGGGACTAAATTCAACTAAAAGCTTTTGTAGAGCAAAGGAAACAGTCAACACAGTGAAGAGACAAATGGTACAATAGGAGAAAATATTTGCAAACTCCTACTTAAACTAAAGAACCTCTGATTTGATCTGATAAGCACACTGGCCTTCTCAATGTAAGTTTTGTTTGTAATATATATATATATATATGCGTGTGTGTGTCTATGCTATGGCTAAAAAGAAGTTGGAAACCACTTAGTAGCCTAACATTTTTCTAAGAATTTCTCAGACATGTAATCATATAGCTCCTTCCAGAGTGCCAGGGAGCTCATGATCACAAAAGAAAGTCAGTTCTACTGTTAAAAAGATTCCAGTTGATTACAGAGTTCTCCTGGACTGGAAATGAAGGAGTGTTATTAGTCTTATACCCAGTAAACATTATGTCATTAACCTTACATTTTTAAGTCATTAACCTTACATTTCTATCCACAGAAATTTCCAGTTCCACTGTTTTTCTTTGTGGCTAGAAAGAGTTTAAATATGTGTATGTTAGTTTACCATATAGAATCAAAGGGCGGATGGAGTCACAACTCGGAATTTTTCAAGAAAAAGTCTTAGGTATTAAGTAAAAAACAAATAACCGCATTTAAAAAATGGACAAAAGACGTGAGCAGACACTTCTCAAAACATACTAGAGGCCAGCAAACTAATGAAAAAATGCACATCGCTAATTATCGGAGAAATGCAAATCAAAACCACAATAAGATACCATCTCACAGAAGTCACAGGGCTGTCATTAAAAAGTAAAAAAAAAAACAACAGATGCTGATAAGTCTGTGGAGAAAAGGGAACTGCTTATACACTGTGAGAATGTAACCTCCGCTACTGTGGAAACCAGTTTAGAGATTTCTCAAAGAACTTAAAACAGAACTACCATTAGACCCAGTAAACCCGTTAATGGATTTATATCCAAAAGGAAACAAATCTTTCTACTAAAAATCATGCACTTGCTGTTCATTCTAGCACTATTCACAATAGCAAAGACATCAACCGAGGTACATATTAGTGCTGAATTGGATAAAGAAAATGTAGTACATGTACAGCGTGGAATACTGTGCAGTCGTATAAAGGAATGAAATCAAGTCCTTTGCAGCAACATGGATGGAGCTGGAGGTCATTACCTAAGTGAATTAACACAGGAACAGAAAACTAAGTACTGTGTATTCTCACTTATAAGTTTAGAAGCTAAACATTGGACACTCATGGACAAAAATACACTGAGGACTTACTAGAGGGGGAGGCAAAATGGGGGCACGGGTTGAAAAACTATTGGGTAATGTGCTTAGTATCTGGGTGACGGGATTGTTCATACCCTAAACCTCAGCATTATGCAATATACCCAGGTAACAAACCCTTATGTATACATCCTAAAGCTAAAATACAAGTTTAAAATGTTAGTTGAAGAGTTGTGTAATTGGCTGGGCTCGGTGGCTCACTCCTGTAATCCCAGCACTTTGGGAGACTGAGGTGGGTGGATCGCTTGAGGTCAAGAGTTTGAAATCAGCCTGGCCAACATGGTGAAACCCCATCTCTACTAAAAATACAAAAATTGGCTGAGCATGGTGGTGGGTGCCTGTAATCCTAGCTATTTGAGAAGCTGAGCTGCAAGAATTGCTTTAACCCGGGAGGTGGAGGTTGCTGTAAGCTGAGATCACACCACTGCACTCCAGCCTGGGTAATCTGGGTGATAGAAAGAGACTCTGTCTCAAAAAAAAAAAAAAAGAAAAAGAAAAAAAAATTATGTAGTGGATGAAAAATTATAATAAATATGTCTAAATACTCCTTTTGGAATATACTACTAATAATGGAAAGATGTTTGCTTTCTGATTCCAAGCATTTGTGGTTTTAAATTGACTTTCTGATTTAGCCAGCTTCAAAGTGCTTAGGCTAGATATTTTTAAAATTTTGCGTGGTAGGGGCCAGGCGCGGTGGCTCACGCCTCTAATCTCAGCACTTTGGGAGTCTGAGGTGGGGGGAACATGAGGTCAGGAGTTTGAGACCAGCCTGGCCAGCATAGTGAAACCCTCTCTACTAAAAATATAAAAATATTAGTCGGGCATGGTGGTGCATACCTGTAGTCCCAGCTACTAGGGAGGCTGAGGCAGGAGAATCGCTTGAACCTGGGAGGCAGAGGTTGCGGTGAGTCGAGATCACGCCACTGCACTTCAGGCTGGGCAACAGAGCGAGACTCTGTCTCAAAAAAAAGAAAAGTTTGCATGGTACAGAAATTCTGCTTTAACCTGTTGTCAGTAATATTACTTTGTAGCCAACTTTGTCTTGCCTTTTTTTTCTCACCAGCTACATTATTGAGCAGGGGGTATGTTATTTGGTTTTATGTGAAGCTGCCTTCCCTAAGAAGCTGGCTTTTGCCTACCTAGAAGATTTGCACTCAGAATTTGATGAACAGCATGGGAAGAAGGTGCCCACCGTGTCCCGACCCTATTCCTTTATTGAATTTGGTAAGTTTTTGCCCCTCACTTCTATCAAGGGGGCAGACACACTGATATAATATTGATACATTTTTTCTGATGTTTACTTTTTGAAATTTTAGCTTTTGCTTTCTTTTCCATTCCACTTCTTTTTGTCTTTTTAAATGATTAATGCTTCCTTCTGAAAAGTAATTTTCTCTAGTCTTTTGATCTTTCCCCCATAGAAATTGTTGTCTTTTGCCCATCTCTGTTATTTATTTTGACTCTTCATTGGAGTCATATGTGACAGGTACTGTGCGTAAAGGTCTATGGCACATTATGGCTGAGTTCTTTACCCCAGTCCATAGACTAACACTCACAATAAGGCCTAGTTTATGGAGATAAGAATTGGGAATTCAGAAAGAATGGTGTGTTGTTTCTTTTAGTAGAATAAGATCCTGTAATTAAAAAAAAAAAAAAACCCAAGAAATAGAAGATACATGGTATTCATGGTATTGGAGTATAATATTTACTATATTTAGGAATAGTGAGCATAGGTGTCTGTATTTGCACAAGAATTATGGAAAGACGAATCACTAATCAGACCTAGTAAAGTATCTGATGGCAAGGGATCAAAGGAAATGCCCTAAGTACAGGGAGTGAGAACAAGTAGGATCAGGCTATATCGCTGACATTTTTAGTTAAAAGAAAAATTAGTTTTACACTCTCTCAGAATTTCTGAAGTGTTTCAAGTTTGCTAGATAAATGGGTCATCTTGCTTTTAAGAAATAGAGAATATTTGGGAAAACACTCTAGTGTTTCATAACTGCACACTCTCCAAGTGCTGGTTTATATAATGTCCAGTTTTTCAAATTTTATTTTTGTAGACACTAGTAGTCCCATAAACCACCCCCCCAAAATAAGACAAATGTGTTAGGGTCATACAGGAAATAAATGGTACACGCAAATTAGCTTAAGGGAGTACATACAAAGATACGAATAGGCTGTAGGAGGATTACAAGGTACAGTAACCTCGGACCAGTAGCATACTGGTTATTACTATTCCTAGGCCTGAAGATATAAGGGGAAGGAGCAGTTTCTGAAACTAAAAAGGAGAAAATTTCTAGAAAAGGCCAACTTGAGAAGAGCAGTAACTTGGTAGAGGGATACTGCCAGAAGGATCCTTCCTTCTCTGAGAGGAGCCAGTGGAATAAATATCCTGATGTCACTGTCTGTCCTCTTTCTTCCCTACTGTTGGGGCTCTTTCAACTGCCTGAACCTAACAGACACAGGGCAAGGAGTCTTTTGAGGCACTCCATGCAAGTTGGCGTCCCAGTATAGAAAGAACGGTGCAGGAGAGCAGAAAGGAGACCTAAAGAGGCAAATAAAGGAGTCCAGCACACATAAATTAAGATTTTTGCCAAAAGTTGAATATATCTTTAATAATAAGTCATTCCTCTTATAGTTTTGAGAAATCTGATATGAGCAAAAGATGGACGAGACTTCAGATTTATTTATTTATTTATTTATTTATTTAGAGATAGAGTCTCTCTCTATCACCCAGGCAGGAGTGCAGTGGTGCGATCTCAGATCACTGCAACCTCCATCTCCCAGGTTCAAACGATTCTTGTACCTCAGCCTCCTGAATAGCTGGGACTAGAGATGCACGCCACCTTGCCCAGCTAGCTAATTTTTGTATTTTTAGTAGAGATGGGACTTTTGCCATGGTGGCCAGGCTGGTCTCGAATTCCTGGCCTCAAGTGATTCACTCATCTTGGTCTCCCAAAATGCCGGGATTACAGATGTGAGCCACAGTGCCTGGCCTAGACTTCAGTTTTATGTTGGTATTTTGGAAAACTCCCTGTTACATATTTGCTTTACCTGAGGTTTAAGAATGGAATGAAACTGGGAATGTATATTAGAGAATATACTTTAAGGCAGTGTTTAAGCTTTTTAATGATCATGAGCTCTTTTGCCGTGTTAGGCTCTAATGATGCTGGAGTGTTACCAGTATCCTTTTAAGAAATGTATAGAGTTAAGTAAACCTAAGGGTCCTCAGAATAAATACTGTTTGAAAATTTCTGTTTTTAGGAAATAGAGGGTCTTAATTTCCCTAAGTCTTCTGATAGCAGCCTTAGATAGCAAATCTTATACTTCAAAGGTATCCGAAGGACATTTCTTCTGAAGAGTCATGTAGTTATACCTTTACATTTTACAAATAAAGAAATCAAAGCCTAAATTTTGATATTCAACCAAGAGTTTGATTAACCATGGACAGTGGCAAATTCAGGAATAAACTCTGAACTTTTTTTTTTTTTTTTTTTTTTTGAGATGTAGTCTTGCACTGTCACCTAGGCTAAAGTGCAGTGGTGTGATTTTGGCTCACTGCAACCTCTGCTTCCCAGGTTCAAGCAGTTCTCCAGCCTCATCCTTCCAAGTTGCTGGGATTACAAGTGTCTGTCTGCCACCATGCTTGGCTAATTTTTTGTATTTTTAGTAGATACGGAGTTTCACCATGTTAGCCAAGATGGTCTCGATCTCCTGAACTCGTGATCTGCCCACCTCGGCCTCCTAGAGTGCTAGGATTACAGGTGTTAGCCAGCATGCCCAGGCAACTCAGAACTTTTAATTTTCTACTTCAGTACTTTGAAGGTCATTAAAGAAATGGTTCGTGGTCACTTTTCTTCATCATTCAGATACCTTCATTCAGAAAACCAAGAAGCTCTACATTGACAGTCGTGCTCGAAGAAACCTAGGCTCCATCAACACTGAATTGCAAGATGTGCAGAGGATCATGGTGGCCAATATTGAGGAAGTGCTACAACGAGGAGAAGCACTCTCAGGTATCTAAAAGCAATGAGTCTTATGAAGAAGTGGTTCTCATTCCATAGACAAGGATAGCTTATTTTGCAGTGCCTTTTATGCTATTAGATTCTACCTAGAACTGTTAAGAATTTATCTCCCAGAAGTACATTACAATGCTTCCAATAGGGTATGTTTTTTTCCTAGCATGATTAGTTTTTGTTGAGTTGGAACAGTGTAAAGGACTCATCCATCTTCGAAGCAATGATTATTTCTAAGATACTGACAAAATTAAACAAATTATATACAGAAACACTTGTAAAAGTTAAGGGAAATGAAAAGAATGAGAAAATTGTCAAAGATTTATTGCAGTGGTTTCTTGAGTAGCCTCTTTGGGAGACTACTGCTACCAGATTAATCTTTATAAAACACCATTTTCATCAGGCATTCCTCTCTGGAAAACTTTTAAATCTGGGACTGCAGGATAAGATCCAGTCTGACTTACTTTTCAGTCAGTCAGTGCTTGTTATTTGGAAGACATTGTGCTCTATACATGGAAAATAAGGCGAATGCAAATGTCTGTCATTCTCTAGTTCACAAACATTCTGCTGCAGCCAAACCAGCTTCTTCACTGTCCTTAGTGGTCTATTCTGCCTCGTGCTGGAACTGTTCTGTAAGACCTCCATAAGAACTGCCTTTTTAAAGAAGCCTTCTCTGATCCTTATAGCCTGTATCACATTAACCTCTTCTGTACTTTAAACTCCTAAAGCACTTAGTAACATAATGTTTTTAGCACATATTATGTGTGTGTATGTTTATCTAATTTACCTTAAATATGCATATTTATTAAATACCTAACTTACATATATATCATAAAGATATATTAACTATATATTTAATATATTTCCATGTAAGATAAATATATATTTTATATGTTTAAATATTTATATTAAAGTAGTAAACATTTGTGTAATTAAATAATTTTATATAATTTCATATATTTATGTTTTTGAGACAGGGTCTTGCTCTATTGCCCAGGCTGGAGTACAGTGGCAGAATCTTGGCTCACTGCAACTTCCATCTCCTGGGATCAAGTGATCCTCCCACCTTAGTCTCCTGAGTAGCTGGGTCTACAGGCATGTGGTACCATGCCTGGCTAATTTTTGTATTTTCTTAGTAGAGATGGGGTTTTGCCATGTTGTCCAGAGTGGTCTCAAACTTCTGGGCTTAAGCAATCCACCCACTTCAGCTTCCCAAAGTGCTACGATTACAGGCATGGGCCACCACACCTAGCCCTTTATATAATTTAAAAAGTGTAGGTAATTAGGTAAAATTAGATTAAAAGTATATATATATTTACCTGAAATTTAAGTATTATCTAAGTGTTTAATGTGAACATGTAAGCTCTTTAAAGATAGTGTTTATGTGTTTTATATCTGTTTCACATACTTCTTACATATCCCCACAGTAATGGTCACAAATAGGTTCCTTAGTAAGTATTTTTTAATTCAGCCATGCTATATATTCATTAGTAAATGGGTTTTCTTTTATTACAAACTACAAACTTGAACCTTTTTGTGAGCAGTGAGCAGTTATCCATTTACCTTCATACTCTTTAAATATCAAATTTTGAGTGAGTGAGTGTGTAAGTTTTTGTTATACAGACTTACAATTCCTAAATGAGATAAAGTAGACTAGCACAGGAATTTTTTGTGTATCACCTATGCAAGACTCTAAATTCCATAAAGGCAGGGATCATGTACATTTTGATCATTGTTGTATCCTTTGCACTTCACGTGGTGCCTGTAACATAAATATTTGTTAAATAACTTCTCCAAGCAATAGCTTTGTCTTTATGTTATCCTGTGTTTCAAAATATTCGTATACAAATTCTCTTAACTATGACTTGTTTCATATGGTCTAATAATTGTTTCTCTGCTGAGTTTTTCTCAACAAATTTAGATTCATTTAGCAAATGTTTATTGTGCACTAACTGTATACCAGGCCCTGTTCTGGGCACTCAGGATATAGCAGCAAAAACAATAATTTAAAATCCCTGCCCAGTGGAGTGTGTATTCTTGTAGACTCTGTAAAAAGATGTCCTGCACATTGTCATGGTTATTTCTCCCTAACTTTTCTTTTGTGACTAGATGTTTTTCTTACTCATGTGATCAGTTGCTAGTTCAGACGTGGGTGTCATGCCTGTGTTATTAAGTAATGCCATGTTTCCCAATCAAAACCAGTCTCTATTAAGCAACACCAAATATTCCAAAAGCATTCTTTAAGGAAGAAACAATCAGATTGCAAAATAGCTTTTCTGAAATTTAAAGAAGTGAAGAGTTTGATCAGAATTTATGATGTCAAATGGAGAGTTCGTGTTTATTTTTAAAATATACCCTATATTTTAATCTGGTTTAGCTCTTGTCTATCTGGCTATTTCTCTAAGTGCTTAGTTACCTATTATAAGATAACAACATTGCAAATGTCCTTAGGGGTAAAAAATCTTGCCAACTTGCCAGAAAATGCTAAAACTTCATTGATTTATGGGTTTTTTTGTGGTACTTTTTATTGTATTTTAGTTGTAACTAAATACAATAACTAAATATATTTCCTATGTCTATCAAAATATAAATGCTGATAATTTTAAATTCACAATAGTCTTTACTATGTGGAGAATCTTAGAAATTTTAGCAGTCATCATTGAAGTATAGCTTAAGACTGTGTTTGGTTAATTGAATTTTCTGATTATTTTGAGTTTGTTTTACATGGATTATCATTATCGTTTTTCAAAATGTAAGATGATTCAGACCATTAAAATATTATGAAGATAATAATTATTAGCATGTAATAATTATTGTACTTCATCATATGCAGGCATTGTTGCTCACTTTACAGGCAATTTCATGTACATACAACCTATGACATGGTTACTGTTATTATCCCCACTTTATAGATAAAGAAACTAGATTTTAAATAGGTTATATGACTTGGCCAACATCACATGACTGGGACAGGTGATATCTGAACAAAAGAGTCTGAGGCCAGAACCTGCACTTCCAACTACCTTACTAGATAGCCTCAAAAATTCGGACATAATCTGACCTGATAATTTTAAACTCTATTATAGATATGACAGTGTTTCAGGATCATCAGTTAATTAGTATATGCAATGTTACCTTTAAAATAAAAATGATAAATCAAGATTCATGGTTGTTACAGCGCTGCTCATTTTGGTTATTTTTAATGCCTTAATACTTTTCCAGGGACTAATTTAATGTTTTCCTCTTTTCTTCTTTGACAGCATTGGATTCAAAGGCTAACAATTTGTCCACTCTGTCCAAGAAATACCGCCAGGATGCAAAGTACTTGAACATGCGTTCCACTTATGCCAAACTTGCAGCAGTAGCTGTATTTTTCATCATGTTAATAGTGTATGTGCGATTCTGGTGGCTGTGAAATAATGAATACAGTCACTGGTAAGGGAGAACCTAGAACCCAGTAGGTGTATATTTTCAGGAAACTGAGCTCACAGAGATGTGTATTAGAATCCAAGCAGAACTTCTGCCTCTAAAGACCTTGCAAGAAAAGACGTGTCCTGAAAATGAAAGGTTACACCTCATTAAATGAAGCTTAACCCTATGTAGAATGTCTCTTTCGGGGGCAGAGGCTTTCTCTGGGTGCTAAGCCATATATGTTAGGGAACAGTAGATTGTTACTTTGTTTTTTCCCTCCCAGTACATTTTGGAAATGGCACTGACTGGGGCATTCTCATTCTCTAATGGAGCCATCAATGAGCTAACCTGTGCTAGCAACATTCTGAAATTCCTTCAAAGAAGGCAGTCCTTTTGGAAGGGTTTTTTGTTTGTTTGTTTTTTGTTTTTTGACTCTAATCAACATTCCTTTTGTTGGTGACATTTGTGATTTTGAGTAATATGAGTTTTTGATGGCCTTTTAAAGCAGACTCCAGTATATGAAGGTTAATTGCTGTGCTCTACAGACCTTGTCAATTGGCCCCTATAGCAAGTTAACCTTTGTTGTTTTCCTTTTATAAACTGCTTATTGCACAATTGCTTTAGGGTTAAATGAATTATATTAAGATGGCTTGAAATTATAGCGGTCCTTGATTAAGAAGCTAAAATGTTTCTCCATTTACTCCTTAAACAAAAGACTAAAATTAATTTGGGACATTGTTAGTTTTACTTTGAAGCATTTGATTTGTATTGGTATAAGAGCAAGTACAGCATATGCTTAAATGAGGCCCTTGGCTTCATGAGAAGAAAGGAAGACCCAGGTTATAGTTACAGCTTTCTCCTGCCCCTTCTTTCTCTACCACTATTTTCTGCACTGTTTATGTTCCTCCTTCCACAATTTGCTAACATTTAAAAATTTTTCTGCACCCAGTAGTTTCATGTCCTGTAGACATCCTCTTAGGACATTCTCAAATTTAAGAATAAAAGATATTAGTCTATATAGCTAATTAAAGTTTTTGCAGTACTCAAGCTACTAAATACGTTTACCTGAGAAAAAGTCTCTGAGAGCACCTCATTCCTGTTTTAGTTCATGTAAATTCTCTGAGAATGTTCTAGAGATAGATAACCCATTTATAGTGGTTTCTATTAACTAATTAAAGTACCCATGATTTTTTCCTTTTCTGCTCAGGGATGATGAGGATTTCCTTTTACCTTCTAAGGTAGAATTTTTTAATGAGGAGAATAGGCCTTTTAAATATTATCGTAAGGGTCTACAATATGACTTAAAACTCCTATACATACTGCAAATATTTCTTTAAATTGTATGGCAAAACGAGCCAACTTATTTCTTAATATCTTTGGCGAGAACTTAACCAGTAAGCAATTTTATAACCCTGAGGGATCATCAAAGATACTATCCTGATTCCCAGGTAAGGAAAAAAATATTTTTCCTTATAACAAGGCAAGGAGAAATGCTATTTTATTCCTGATAATTTATAGAACTACAAAAAATTTTTTTCTTTCTTTTATGGACTTAAATCTGCCAATTGGGAATTTTGTGCATGAAATATGAAGTTACTTTTTATAGATAATAAGTGCTTTTAAGTCCCCAAAAAGCTCCTCCCTAAGTAATGATGATGTTGATAATCAAAGCCTTTGAAAGGCTGAAATCCTAAATAGTGGTACCATAGTATTTGGTGCTTCTAAAAGAGTGGAGAGGGGCAGCTCATTGTTGAGAGTTGCATGCTGCAACCTAATGGTCAGCAATGAAATAAATACTTCTAGAATGTTCACTTCAGTGTGAAGTTTTGTTATCTGGTTAACTTATATATGTATATCCTTTGTAGAAACATTTCTGTCTAATCTTGGTAGGCTAATCAAGAAAGACGGGATAGGGGTAATTGTCAACAAAAGAACAAGAAAGTGGTTTAAGATCAGGGTAGCGGAAAGATGAGAGAATAAGACAATCATAATATGGCTCCTGATTTTCTTTATAAGCGGCAGTGGGAAGATCTGACTAGATGAAATGCATCAGTAACCAAACTGGCATTTAAAATGGAATGGAATAAATAGTGTCTGGGGTTATTGGAGGCACATTAAGAAAGGACACCTAGTCTGTTTTGGGAAGGAGTATGGTAAGAGAAGACTTTGTAGAGAAGGAGAATAGGGCATTCGAGGGAGAGTCAATGGCATGTGCAAAGGCATGAATAAAGAGAGCAAAGCATATTTTGGAAATGTAACGGCTTGGTTCAGCTTAGCCCATAGGGCAAGCATAGACAACAGAGGAGACTTGAGGAATGATAACTAGATTGGTACACTTTCATAAAAGGACTTGTCTGTCATGCTAAGGAGGTTAGATTATCTTAATGGCAGTGGCAAAGGATGGCATCAGATTTATAGTTCAAGTGATCATTTTGGCCTTGGCATAAAAGATATATTAGGGAGGGGTAAGCCTGGAAGTAGACAGATGAAAATAAGGAGCCATCAAAGGCAGAATGAAGCTTAGGCAGATTTCGTGTGATTTTCAAGAAAGATGTGATCAGAGGTACCAGATAATAACTATTACATAACACTTTCTTTCTTTGTTAGGAGCTTATTTCTCACACTGACCAAACATTTTGAAGTAAGTACTCTTCATACCACTGTATAAATACACTTTACAAAGGATTCTGCTTTGAGGCATGACAGAGTTCAGTAATTTGCCCAAAGTCACAGAGTTAGAAAGTAATAGAGCTAAGATTTAAACTTAGGTAGTTTGGCTCCAGAGTCTGTACTCTTAACCACCATACCACCACCAAGAGGTCAAATAAAATAAGTACCAAAAAATGTATTTTTGAATTTAACAACCAGGAACTTAATCATACAGCCAGAAATAAATTCCAGAGCACTGGGGACAGAAGCCAGGTTGCCATATGGGTTAAAGAGTGTATAAACCACTAGGAAGTGAAGACACAGAACTACTGTCTCAAGTGTTTTTCTGGTTATTATGACACTGAACTTCATGGCTTGTTTTAATTAAGATATTTTACAAATGTCAAAATTTAGAAATATTTGGACATTTTACACACTCCAGTTATTTAAATGTTTAACAATGGTTCTTAAGCATTTTGAGAAACCTTTAAAAATCTGATGAAAGGTACGTGCCATTACTCCAGAAAAATGCTCCTGTGTACATGCACACCAAGTACCACATACTGTTTCTGGCTGTTCAAGGACTATAAAGTCTGTTCATGACCTAGTGGTCCATGTTTCCTCAGTTAAAAGCTCCAGAGATACAGGATGTGGAACTCAAAGGTAAGTACCCAGAGCCTTGAAAACTCCAGTGATGGTGACTTGGAAGAATTCTACAATTTGAATTAACTTTGCGGAGGGATGTATTTTTCAAAAATTGTATGTACCCCCAAAAAAATCTTATCAAATAGTATTTTCCTGTAGTGTGTTCAAGGATCTGGTTCCACAGGAAAATACTGTTTTGGTCTCAGTTCCTCAAAATCACATTTAAGGAGCTTGAGATTTATGTTTTCCACTTAATAAGTCTTACAAAAGCTAGTTAAGAAGGAAAATAGATAATCATGTCTGCACACATAAGATTTAGTAAAACATGTATAATAAAACATCTCATATCTTAAATTTCCACCTTGTTGGTAGCTTTCATGACAAAGGCCTCGGGTATTGGTGGCTGTACAATTAAGGTTTTTGGTAGTGAAGTTAGCAGAACAAGTAGATTCCTACGTGGTGGGTTTTTTTCCTCCAGTTAGCTCAGCAGGAAAGTAAATAGCAGTCATTGTGTGTGTGACAAATTCTGAGATAGAATGAGCAAATTGAATGTCACGTCCTATTTATATAACTGTCAGGCAGGGTTCACCTAACAGTATAAAACTATCTCAAGCAATTTAGTCACTCAGTCCTCATAAAGTTGATTTCAAGTACTGTTAACAATTCATGTTTAGATTAGAAAAATCACTAGAAATTTGCCTTCCATATAGTAATCTATGCTTTTTTCTCTCATTTCCTTCATTTTTTGAGCACTAAGTATTAGGCATTTTACAGATATAATTACAATTCTTAGAAGCATTTTCTGTGCTTGCCCCAAGGTCACATAGCTAGCAGGTTAAAGCAGATTGAAATCCAGGCCTGTTAGATACCAAATTATTATTTAAGAATACTTTTCACTACTCTAAATAATGACACAGATATGTTTGTCTTAGGCACTTCACTTGTACTGTCAAGTTATTAGTATGTTTATTTTGAAAAGTGTTTTTGACAATTTCTTTTTATTATTTCAGTACATTTTAAATTCATTACCTCTTCTTCCTTTATTCTTTTTAAATGGTTTTTGCTTTTGTTATTTTGTTTTCCCCTTTTTATTCTTGGCTTGTAATACAGCTTTCCTTATTTGCTCCTTTCTCATTTGATCTCAGTATTAATCGAACCGTTTTCTACATCTGATTCCTAAAATTTCAGCCATTAAAAAAAAAAATCCCACTTTTTCTCTGTCCTGTTGCCCATTCTCTTCTCTTTGCCTCACGTCTTTTATCTTTTTTCCATTTTACTTTCATTTTTTGTTTCCCTAGATGTTTTTACATATAAGTTAATGTACTGCTGCAATTTTGCATCTATAAATTAGAGCTTCAGAATCAACTGAGTGTATTCTTTATTTTTAGGCCTAAATTTATATTACCTTTTACTGATTTTATAATATACTGTGCTCTTTCATTTTAGTCTGCACATTAGCCAAAGAAGATAGGTGTATTTTAAGAAATCTGTTTGTAAAAAATGTCAAGCATGACAAGAATTCTTCAAGAAACAAGCTCCTCTAATTTGTCTTCTATGTTTAGAGCTTCGACAGTTAATTTTATTACTGATAACTCCCCAATATGCCTTCATATTGTGTTTTGGGCCCAAGTTTTTTTGATTCTTATATATCTGTTTTTGACTATCCCATAAATACTTAATTGCATCTAAAATATATTGCCTCCACTCCATTGCTCTCAAAGATAAAACCAAATCTGTGCTTCTTACTATATTTCCAATATTTAGGCATTACGTGCCATTCCTTTATCTGAGCTACATGTCATGAATTGTATTAGACTCCTCTGTTTTCTTCTTTCACCTCTCACTAGACTGTTGACCAAAATCTTTTTTTACATAATTTTCCAAAGGTATTTCATTTATTAAATCATTTCCATCCTTTATGATTTGGGTTTAAGCACTCATTAACTTTAACAAGGATTCTTGCAGTACCCTCCTTACTGATTTTGTTACACGCCTCTCTTTTATGTCAGTACTACCATGATAATACCATGGATAATTTTTTTAATGCTAATCGTACTGCATTTTCTTTAGAATAAAAGATCAAATATTCCAGTTTGCCATTCGCAGTGTGGCCCCATTGTACCATCCTAGACTCATCTCCTGCCACTCCCCACCACTCTTGTTTCAGCCCACACTAAATAAGCTAGTTCGCAAACCAGTCAAACACTTTACCTTGTGCCTTGGCTCACTGTATGCCTTTTCTCCAGAATATCTTTTTGTATACTTCTCTCCCATCCTTTTCTCTTTAAACCTGCTGCTATGGCTTGGATGTTGTTTGGCCCCTCCAAAACTCGTTATAATTTGATTGCCAATGTAATAGTAGGAGATGGTACTTTTAAGAGGTAATTAGGTTGCTAAGATGAATTAACATCTTTTTCTTCGCACTGAGACTGGGTTTGTTCTCATGGGTTTGGTTAGTTCTCAAGAGAGTGAATTGTTATAAAACAATGCTGCCTCTTCTATTTTGCACTTTTGTTTGCACATACTCGGCCCTCTTCTGTTTCTCTACCATGTTTTGATGCAGCATGAGGCAGTCATGAGAAGCCACCCAATACAGCTGCCTGATCCTGAATTTTCCAGCCTACAGAACCATGTGCTAAATAAAATTCTTTTTAATAAGTTACCCGCTCTCAGGTATTCTGTTATAGCAACAGAAAACAGTTTAAGATACCTGCCAGGCTCCTAACCTTGAAGGGCTAGAAAACAAAGCCAGAGGTCAAATACCAGCCTCCGCAGAGTTAGAACACACAGCTCACGAGTGCTGAGCTCAGCCATTGCCCCTAAAATCTTGCAGAAATGACGCCAGTTGGCTGAACCCAATATATACAGCAATCAAACCCCCAAGGGCATAAAAGAAGACCAAAGAAGAAAAACCTATCCAAGAAACAGCAACTTCAAAGGTTGAAACAACATCAGACCAGGCAGATGAGAACCAGCACAAGAACTCTGGCAACCCAAAAAGCCAGTGTTTTCTTACCTTCAAACAACTGCAGTATTTCACTAAGAATGATTTTTTATTTCCCCAACAATGGTTCTTAACCAGGCTAAAATAACATAAATAGAGTTCTGAATATGGATAAGAATGAAGATCATTGAGATTCAGGAAAAAGTTGAAACCAGTCAAAGGATTCTAAGGAATACAATAAAACAGTACAGGAGATGAGAGATGAAATGGCCATCTTAAGAAACAACCAAATTGAACTGATAGGGCTGAAAAACTCAAAGAATTTCAGAATATAGTTGCAAGTATTAATAGAATCAATGAAGCTGAGGAAAAGATCTGAGAACTCAAAGACTGGTTCTCCCAAAGAATTCAGACAAAAATAAAAAAGATTAAAGACAAATGAACAAAACCTCTGAGAAATACGGGGTTATGTAAAGAGACCAAATATATGTCTCATTGGCATGCATGAAAGGAAGGAAAGCAACAACTAGGAAAACATTTCTGAATATCATCAATGAACATTTTTCCAACCCT